TGCACTAGGTAAGGCGACAAGCGCAGATTGAAGCACAGGAGGGAAGTGGCCCCTGGAGGAGAGTTTCCTACAAGACTCTATAGCTGGTGGATATGCTATTAGATATAACAGAAGTCAAAAGTATAAAGGGGAAAAACGAGAAATGCCAGGAGAAACTAAAAGTTACAAAATGTAATTGTGATGTAAGCTGTGTTCTGCAGTGAACTACATCAACCCATGGGAGGGTACTATTATAAAATAATGGAATGCAAATAGTATGAACCTTGAAAATGTAATTATAAAGTCACAGGTGACAAAAACTGAGGGTGGGAGGACACAGGGGAGGGAACAGGTATTACTATTGGTATGAGAACCAAGAAATACTGTCCACAGCTAATGGAATAATAAAAGTAAAAGTCAGTTATTAAACATTGTACAGGAAGCCTGTAAAGGGATCCAAAGTGGTGACAGGATAGAATGGGGAAGAGGTAGGAAGTGCTACGAGCTAAATTCTTAGTTATCAGTCTGAAAAGCCATTAACTTAGGTCAAAAATTAAGAAATCAAGAAGCAGTGGTATAAAATACTGTTGAGAGCTATGGAGGTGAGTACTATAAAAACACAAAATAGCTCTAGTGGTTCTCTCACTAGGAAGCTAAACTTGGTGCCAGAGGTGTTATTTTGTGATTTTTGGCTTTTCATTGTCTTTATATTACTAAATCAAACACACAATGGAAGGAGAAAGAAAAGAAAAAGGGAATTTGGAATTTGTTTGCAGTTCTCCCATTCTTTTCCTTATTTCTTACCCTATGGTTCAGCTCCCTGGTTATGGCATTTGCTCCTTTAGTTTTCTAGAAAATATGGGACAGCCATTTAGCCTGGTGGTTAAAACACAGCTTAAGGCACCCACATCCCAGATTAGGGTGCTTGGATTCCAGTCCCAGCTCTACTTCCAATTCTAGCTTCCTGCTAATGTGTAGCCTGGAAGGCAGCAGGTGATGGCTCAAGTTGTTAGGTCCCTGGCAAGCATGTGGAAGACCCGGAGACCGAGTTCCTGGCTCCTAATTTTGGCTTGGCCCAGTCCTGGCTGTTACAGGCATTTGAGGAGTGAACCAGCAGATGGGCACTCTGCCTGCTTCTCAAATCAAGTAAATTTAAAAAATAACATTTTTTAAAGATTTGTATTTACTTGACAGGCAGAGTAAGAGAGAGAGAGAGAGAGAGAGAGAGAGAACGAGTATCTTCCATCGACTGGTTCACTCCCCAAATGCTTGCAATAGCTGGGACTGGGCCAGCCTTAAGGCAGGAGCAGAAATTCCCTTAGGGTCTCCCACACAATGGTAGGAACCCAAGAAGTTCGACCAGTATCTGCTGCCTCTCATGTGCATTAGCAGAAGGCTAGACTGGAAGTGGGGGTGCTGGGACTGGAACCCTGCACTCCAGTACGGCTTAACCTGCTGTGCCACCATGATCTTGGTTAATGTACAGACATGCTTTTACAAAAGTACAGAAATGGAAAAATTTTTAAAACTAAAAACAAAAAATATGAATAAAAAATTGCACATTTCTCAACCCTGTTTTTTCCCATTCATATTCTCCTGGAAAATAACTGCCCCCACCCCCAAGCCCCTGCCCCCACTATGGATAGGAGTAGTCATTCGGCGAGCACTCTCCTCCAGTGTCCCTTCTCGCCTGAGCGCTCGTAACTCATCAGCTCACTCTGAAAGACATGCCAAGGCTGAGGTCCATCCCAGCTCTTGCCTTCCTTGCATCTTTCATTTTTGTTCCATACTTTTTGTTTTGCCATATTTTAAATTTTTCCTAATTTAAAAGCAAAACAAAGAACTTCCTACCAAAATTTCTCATGCATCTGAGAATCTCTCCAAGTGTCCTCACCAGTCATTATCTTGGGATGCTTGTTGTTGATTTTCCTCTGCCCCATGCCCAAACTCACCTCCTCTAGTAATGTCGCGCTGTCCAAATGATCAGGTATACAATCTTCCAAACCCACGAGCCTCTCTGCACACCCTGCTACCCTCCACGCTGCGATCTTAAAACTTTTCCCTCCCTTTGCTTCTTACACTTGTAGAACAGATCTCTCATGAAAATGTAAATACCAGTATATTACAATCAGCTGGCAATATTAGGACAGGCTACACCCAGAAGTTATAAACTTGTGCAACTTCAAAAAGCTCATGGAAAATGAAATTCAAGGATATAGGAATTATCCATTAACTTTCTGACGTCCCCTCATGACCATTTCAAATTACCAGGACTAGCAGCTACACTTGAGCCATAAACTTAATGTGTATACAGGTGTCTGAATCAGGCATCTGTGTTTTTATTGGTGGTAACTGTCTGCAAGTTAAAAAACATCTTTCACCAGCTACACCCATGGTGATTGCAGCTTCCTCCTAATATGGATATTGGTTTACAAATAAGGATGATATGAGACGTTAGTCTTCTGTAACTTCAGGCATGGCCTGGCAGAAAGCTGCCCACTGGTCTCTGCCTCAGGTCTTCATAGTGGTCATTTACACACTCAACAACTGACAACCTACATTTACAGATAAAATTATTAGAAATATTAAAATTGTATACATGCAAAACAAAAGCAAAGTGATCAGCCTAACTTCTTAAGTCATAGGGTAACAGAGCAATAAAGGGGCCTTTGGAAGCAAGATACAGAAATGCTTAAAAGGTTAGCGTGCTCAAAAACAAGCAGAGAAGCATCCAAGTCCTGGGAGATAGTAATGACCACTCAATTACCTGGGTCCTTGCCCCCTACGTTGTAGATGCACATTGAGTTCCAGGCTCTTGGCTTTGTTGTAACCCAGCTGGAGTTGTGGTGAGTGAACCAGCAGATAAAATCTCTGCCTCTCAATTAAAAAAAAAAAGATTAAAAAAATTCTTTAAGAGGCTTACTGGAGAAAAACAGAAAAATCAAGAGTACCTTCATATGCCATGTTCTCCAACTCAACTTCCATATATAGGTATTTCCCCCAAATCTTTGCCTTTTTTGAGTTATCATTCCCCGTATCTAGAATGCTTTCTTCCTCCCTTTCCCCATCTACGCCCACCTCTGAAGTTCTTACCAGATCTACCATTCATTTATTCCCCACACTGACTCATTCCTCTATACTTCTGAACTTTATTTCTACCTCTTTTAAGGAATGTAGTATTTCTACCTTGCATTAAGCTATATACACATTCAACTTCTCAAAATGCAAGACATCAGTCTCTCATTTTTTTACACCCAACAATACTTGTACCAGTGTTTTATATGGGATGGAGAAGACCCGGTCTACATTCAATTTTACTGTAATTATAAAGCCTTTAATAATAAAGAAGACTGCGAGACTTCATTAACACATTTAAATTAAAACAGAATCTAAGACTCTAAGAGTCAATTTCTGCATATAATAGCTGAAATCTAAAGGGATCAACTTCCAACACAAACTGAAAATAACACTAACATTTAAATAAGACAAAATTGCAAACTAAATCAATAAACGTTAGGTCAATTTATTTTCTTATCTCACAAGTATAATTTTGGAGGGGCTATTTGAAAAATTTCAGTATTAACTGCCAACTCTATACACATGTGTAAACAAAATGAGCATTCACTTTTTGCCCTTTTAATACAGGTGAAGAATACTATTGCATCACAAATGCTGGAGATGTAGTGATAGATGTAAGGCCATATATTAAAGGAATATGTTTCCTTCCAACTGCTATTTCGTTGATAAATGACATACACATTATTGGCTATCATGACCACTGGTTGAAACTAAAACATTACTCAAACCAGTGGCTTTATATTCTTAGACTAACAACCAGAGATTTGACCCCAGTACTACAAGGTATGGTGGGGAATCAGGGAAGAGATTCAGGGGAAGACTGGCAGTGCATGCTGAATTAGAGTTGGGACAGTGACTCCTATTAGCTATTACCCAGAACTGAATGGTGGTTTAGATTATGTCCTCAATTGTGGCATATGGGAAAGGGTATTAAGGACTGATAATTTACCAGCCCTAAACACCATTTAATGAAAGTCAACAATAGGCTTCAGGAACACAAAAGGAGTATGTGGAAAGGGGAGTGAAACAAAATGAGGTAAAAGGAAGAAAATCAAAGTGGAAGTTTTAGATGTTGGAAAAACAAAAGGGCACCAGAAAAATATACGTTGGTTATCATCACAAGTGCTCTTCCCATAAATGCTCCCTACTTCTGCCCCACCACACACTGACTTCAGAACCCAACTTGAGTAGATATCACATCTTAGTGTTCATAAAACATCACTGATTTGGACTGAGCAAGAATGCATCCGCTTTTGTGGAAAGCATCAATAAATATTCAGAGGTACTGTTTTGTTGTATCAAGGAAAGGAACTAATTTCAGCTGTTGAATAGCAAGTAGAGACGATATCAGGCCTTCTTTGATAAAGTTAAGAAATATTTTTAGGTTGGCAGCAAAAGGTCCTAGAGCAGTTTGTCAACTGCAAACATGCTACTTCCAAATCATGAAGACCCACCAATCCTTAACCAATCCAGTTCAACTTCAAGAAAGAAATGTTTCTCAAAACTATACTAAAAAAAAGTACTTTATGAAATAATTTGACTTTAGCCAGTTTTCACGAAGTATTTGTCTCCAACTTCAGTGTACTCTAACATTAACTTATGATAAACAGGACAATGATTACATTAGCCACTTTTTCAAGCTCCGGTTTTGAAATCATAGAAATGGGCAATTAAACTCATCTACTCAATCTTCACTCAAGTTTTGATCAAATAGCTTATTAAAATGTCTAAAAGAAACTGACTTTTGAGGCAACACACACAAAAAAAATTAGAAAATGTAAAACCTCTCTATCTATCCCAAGCACCAGTGGAGGCTCAGCAATTAGATACAAATCTAATACATACAAATCCTTAATGACAGGTCTTTCCCACTGGAAAATCCTGAGTTTGTAAGCACTGTGACTTTACAAAAGGCAGGTTGGTTTGTAATGAGGAAATTTACGTTTAATAAAAAGACAATCAACAATATTTTATTTTGGGCACTTAGCATTTCACAGAGCCTCATCAAGTTCTGAGGTAGGTTAAATATTAGCATTGCATTTTACAAAGTAAAAGCCAGGCAGATGTCATGTCACTTGTTGCAAACGTCAGGAATCCTATCATGGCCAGTGATAACATGGACTCATCTTGTCTCATGTGTGAATTTAATGGTAACTTGTAACTACTCATGACAAAATAAAAACACAGATATATAATAGGAATTCTAGTCTGGAATATTTTAGAATTCTTGAGTCGATCCTAGAAATACATATATTGCAGGATAACCTACTTGTTGTCATTACAAATATATTTATACAGAACTGATCTTTAAAATTACAATGAACACAGTATTGATTTTGCTGCTTTCTGCCTTTTGGCATGGGTCAAGCAGGAAGGTGATCAGCCTTTAGGAGCTGTGTTCAAGGCACCATCTACTGTAATTTGGGATTACAGAAAAGCAAGTATGCATTTGGAGCCAAGATCCAGAAAAGATGCCTGAATCCAAGTCAAAGATAAAGAGAAAACCAGTATAAACCTCATGCTACCAATCCTCATTATCATTCTACAGTATTATAACAATTCCTGGGAAGAGCTAAGAGTGGCAAATGCTGTTCCAATAGTCTACTGAAGTTCTAAATACATAAGCTGTATGTAAAACTGACATCTTACTAAAGTGACATGGACAGAATATGTATTTTTAATATGAATAAATTTGTCATGTAAAATATTCTAATTGTCAGTAAGCTTGTCCTCTTAATTGACCATAATTACTTAAGTTATTTACCAGAATTTAGCTCTTCTTGACATATGTTCCTGGGCCAATGTTTTCAACTATTTGTTTCATTATATTCAAACAATTATCAGTTATTAGTAACAATACAGGATATATCCTAAGAGTGATTAATTAGCAATTGAGAAAAGAGACAGCAAAAGTCATTGAGTTATAAAATACAGCATTCAGCACAGCAAATTTCTTAAAGAGTAAGGATACAGCCACCTATGCTTCCATACAGATTGAACAGCCCTATACCATTTGAATCAAAGAAGCAAAAACAAAACAAAACAAAACAACAAAAAAAACCCAGACAATAGGGGTGGACAGAAGGCCAAGCATGAAAGCCTTTTATTCTAACATACCCAAAGTGAATTGTGGAAGTAAAAAGTATCTACATTTAAAAAGTTCATATAAATTATGTGAACTGTTATTTTCAGAAAAGTCAAAAAGAAATGTTCTGCATAGGACCAAAGATATGCCTAAGCAACATACCGTATTTGCACAAGGCCACTGAATGTCATGGATATTAGAAACAAACAAAAAAAGCTTAAGTCTATGGCAGATTAAGCAGACTTCAATTTGGTATTCTGTAAGCCCAAGATTATAAACTTATCATACAAAAGCTGTAATGAAAGGATTTGTGTAGTAACTTTTGTGCTTCTGGTTGGCACACTGACTACCTTTTAATATGTGAAATTAATACAGACATTTGTGAAAGGTTGTGCAAAACTATTATATTTACAAAAATGGCACAAAAGTGAATTCAACAGTCAATGCACATGCATACGTCATTCACATCTTCAACGACAAAAGGTATTCTACCATTATAGAACTGAGTAAGAACAGTAGCTTCAACGGCAGCTGTTAAGCACTAGAGTCACATAAGTTACACCAGAATGGGCAAATATTGCCCAAGTAAAATTCTACTGTTAAAGCTGAAACAGGTTTAAGGCCATTCAAGTTCAACCACAGAAATACAAATCTTTTTGGAGTCCCATCTAGTTGTGTTTGAATTATGTAACTTTTCTTACAACTTGTGGTCTTAAACTTCTGTTTTACAAAATCCAAAAGGAAAATACAGAAAAAAATCAATACAAGAGGTTATGTTAAATAAGAGTAACATACAATGCTATAATTAAGATGAAGTAAGTAAAGCCAAACCATTAAAATTGTAAAACTTGTTACTTGTTGGAACCTACACTAGGAGTTAGGTAATATATACAATTATTTTCAAGTAGATTACGTTGCTCTATCATGTCTTTATCAGTGCACTGTTTAACTAATCAAAAACTCTACACATGTATATTCCCTTACAACAGCAGCACACACTACCGCTACCTGCAAAGCTGTCAGTCTCAAATGACTCAGAGAATGAAAGGAAGTAAGAAGTGGATAGGTAACATAGTAAGAGAAATAATGGGAATTAGAAGATTCATGCAGTTCAGCTCTTTTAATCAGCCAGCCAGCTTGCTAGCAACAAGGGATGGCTTCCGTTGAGGAAGGTCCTGTGGAGTGGGAATGTGGTCACCAGTGACCTCCGTTTTATCCGGGGCTGCAGTAGGAAGTTGCTTGTTTTTCATTTTTGCTTTTGCCATGTTGTAATCCCCAGAATCAAAGTATTTTTGCTGTAAATTAAAAAAAAAAAAAAAAAAAAACTGATTAGAGTTTAAAAGCTTTCATATGCAATTATGCTGATTTCTAGATGCAGATGTGACTCCACACTGCCAGAATAAAATAAGCTAGTCTAAATCAAATTAAACAGGAATATTAATTAGATGAAACATCTGTATCTTTGTATCAAGTTCTACCATCTCAACAACTGGGAAATCAGGCAAGATTCTTGTCTTAAAGCTTGCTTGAACCATTCTAGTGCTAACAGAACCCTCAAGATTGACAACAAGCTGTCTGGGAATAAAAAGTCCTGGATTCAGATTAAAATACAAACTTTTCATTTAGTAAATCAAACAGCCACATCGAAATTCTTGCTCCACTCATATTGAAAATAAAACCACTTAATTCACCAACTTGCATTTATTTAGGATGTACCATGTACCACAAACAACTATTATTTTTAGTTGTTAGTACTCTGTCAACTAGGATTAACATTTTCTCAAGAATTTAAAACATATTTGTTTGAACATAAGCAATGGGTAAAAATAAAGATAGCAATCTAAGTGCTTTTAAGAAATAAACTCAATAGAAATTATCATTTAAAATGATGCCCTATACCTCCTTTATATTTCATACAAAGACACTGAATAAGTAAAACTGTTCTTTTTATCTGGAAGGATAAGGTTAACATAACCTTTGTCAATGAAACATAAACTGATGAGACCTAAAGATTAACCTATTAGTTAATCTATTTGAGTTCCAGAGTAAAAACGGGTAAATCTGCCCAGGTTCTGACTTATACCAACTACATTAGCCAACCCACATTTACTGACTTCTATATAAAAGGCACTGGTGTGTCAGAGCTGGAGAAAGACACAATGAACAGTTAAGTAAATCAACTGCTGTAACATTGTCCGAAGTCTGTCAGATGCTATGTATGCTCAAAGGAGGGCAAACTACCCTCAGTCTGGGTTGGCAAAAGTGAATGAAACAGGTATGAAATGAGGATCCAGGTGAAAGGCGGAAGGGTCCGCATCTTCAGAGGTACCTCATGTGGCTACATGGAGCAGCTGGGAACTCACAGCTCAGTATAAGATCAAGTGGCCTGGGGAAAACATCTCATTGGCTGCTTCCTTTGGGACTATTTTTGATAAACTAAAGGTCCTAAAGATAGATTTCAGGCTGGCATTGTGGCCAACATCTCACAAGGGCGCCAGTTCAATTCCTAACTGCTCGACTTCCAATCCAGCACCATGCTGATGCACCTCCGAAAGCAACAGAAGATGGCTCAAGTGCTTGGGCCTCTGCCACCTATGTGGAAGACCAAGATGAAGCTCCTGGCACCTGGCTTCTGGCTTCAGCCTGGCGCAGCCCCAGCCATTGCAGCCATTTGGGGAGTGAGTGAGCAGATGGAAGATCTTTCTCTTTCTCGAACTCTTTCATAAAAATAAATCTTTTTAAAAAATCATTTTATTACGTCACTGTATGTGTGCCATACAAAGCAGTAGCAAGGAAACTTGGATCTGGTTCTTTGTAGGCTTACTGCAGCTTCATTTCTGCATTTTAAAATGGGTAGAGGAAAAAAAAAATCTAAGAACTTTTGATGCACTGTATTATATTAAGGAGCTGCTTCTGAGTTCAGTAGCCTCTGGAGAGCAAAGCAATCTGACAAAAGCACAAAGTGAGAGAGTTAACACAGTACAAATTTCAGGCAGATTCCCCGATGTAATACATTCAAGTTTCTGATGACAAGTAAGCAAAAGTTCATGAAAAGGGGATCTCATTTAACTGCAGATTAGACTACTCTGCTTAGGCAAAAGGAATTAAATCCACTTAGTGTGGCCTGAGAAAAAACTAAAACTAATGTTTGACAATTACAATTTCCCTAAAAAGAAACAAATCACTACAAAAGGCAGGGAATCTGCACAGAGAGATGAATAAAGACAACATGACAAAGATGTCAGAGAGAAAACTCAATGCTTTTAGGTAGAGTACTGAACTAGATTAATGTTTCTCATATTGAGATTCACAGATAAGAGACTACAATTGTCAATGTCTAAATTTTGTTCAATTTCTTAGTGAAGATATTTAAGAATTAACAAAACATTTTCTAGCTCATCTAGATGGTGATCTTATAAAAGTCTTCTTCCCTCAAAATTTAGAGGTTACACTTAATAATGGTATTTACAGCTGCCTTGATAGCAGCTGCCCTGGGACTTCACCAATTCCACAAATACAATACTATATAATCCAACCCTCTCAGATGACAACAAAACTAAAGATTCTGAGGTAATTTGTCAAGCTTGCTAACTATTCTGATAAAGGAAAACATAAACATAGGACCCTATAGTTCATATTTTTAAAAAACTCAAAATTTTATTTCAATCCTATAAAAGGATTTACTGACATTCTGGTATAATACAAATAGCAAAGAGAAATAGTTTTGTAAACACTAATAATCAAATCAGAAATCCAGTAATTTAATAAAGGTTATATAATTTATTTCATAACTGGTACATTTATATTTGCATAGCTAGACCCAAAATTAAATTTTCATTCTGCTTTTTCTACTTATCCCTTATGACCTTTCTAACTCCAAAAATATTTAAAACTACCAAATACTGACTTACCACAATTAATTTAACCATTTCTTTGCTGTTGATTAGTGTTATTGCTTTTAATTATACTTAAAGCTATAAAAAATCTCCAAACTTAAAAATGTTTCTTCATATTGACTTATACCCTTAGATATTTCATAAAAGATTACTCAGAGAAAGTGAACCTTTTTGTAAATTCTGCTCCATACCCCTTCTGAAAGTAGAAGTAGTAATTTTAAATGTTTAAACACAATAAAGAACGTATCAGTGTCACTCAATTTCAACCTCCACAGGTATTTTTTAATATAAAATCCTGCATCCGAGAGCACTGTGTTCTTGTATATTTTGAAGTTCTCTTTTATGCATTATAAATTTTAACTTTCATTTTTGTAATATTTTCCCTCTGCATTACATGTCACAACAGCACATAGGCTTTACATTTTATTTTTGTTATCATTTCTCCCTGTCATCTCATGATTTCAAAACTGTGAATGTCATTCTTTCATATAAGAGAAAAACACTACCCACTCTTTTTTTTCCACTTTAAAAATAATTAGTTCTTTTTGGATTTGATTTGGGAAAATAATTCCTATATGATTACAGCTAGCACATTCACATTCTTGAAAGCAGCAAATACTAGTATTTCTAAGGCATTCAACTTAAGGATAAGTATGACTTGGAATCTCAGTCAATAAATAATTCTCTTCCATAAGTAGCATTTCATCCTACCTACATGCTTAAAATAGCTTTTAATTAACTGTTAAAGAATTACAGATTCCTACAGACATTTATGAAATGAACAGTGTAAAGTATTGAAAAAAAATTATACGCATACACACAAAGGCACAGATCTATACAGCCACACACTTGTTTTACAATCCCTGATGGTAATCAAGTTCACAGGGCTTAAGTATTTGAGATTACATGTGACAACTTACCCCTTTCTGCAATCGTTTCCTTAAGAAATCTGAACCTCCGGGCTTTTGTCCCAGATGAGGATACCTTGCTTTTAATTTTGCTTCTTCAGCTTTCTCTGGACTAGTCACTTTATCTTCCATTTCCTGAAATAATTTTAAATAAATTACTTCTCCGTTACAATTAGCTATTTAAAATAATTCACCTTTTACCAACTGGATACTGATTCTACTGGTCAAGTACCAAGAAACACAGCATCTGACTGAGAAACCCAGCACAGAAGCCTTTAAGTCATCTCTGTCTTGTTTCAAATGATCCATGTGATAGCTCTATTATAGCTGTGATGCATGTGTAACACCCCACACACTGGATAAAAATATCAAGATAGCTCAGCTCTGGAGTCTTGCTTGCCATTACTTTCCAGTCATGTATGACATATTTATAGTTAGTCACCTTCTATGGAACTCTTCAGCTCTTTGCCTATATTTAGATAATTATTCTAGCACTGTTAAAATCTGAAAGATCTGATTACCTGTTTATTCGAAGTTACACATGATTTGAAGCTCCTTAAGTCCTCATATATGTGTATTTTATTGCCTAATCTTCTGTTTAGAATGACAATTTCTGTTCATGTCAAAGATCCCATTCTTTAATACAGCAAAATTCTATTTTCTGACAAGAATGTAAATATCTTAAGCTTATTCACTTTTTTTTTTTTGGACAGGCAGAGTGGACAGTGAGAGAGAGAGACAGAGAGAAAGGTCTTCCCTTGCCGTTGGTTCACCCTCCAATGGCCGCCGCAGCCGGCGCATCGCGCTGATCCAATGGCAGGAGCCAGGTATCCCATAGGGTGCAGGGCCCAAGCACTTGGGCCATCCTCCACTGCACTCCCTGGCCACAGCAGAGAGCTGGCCTGGAAGAGGGGCAACCGGGACAGAATCCGGCTTCCCAACCGGGACTAAAACCCGGTGTGCCGGCGCCGCAAGGCGGAGGATTAGCCTAGTGAGCCGCGGCAATGGCCAAGCTTATTCACTTTTGACACCAATCTTGATTTAGTTTAGTTTCTGTCAAAGGGTCATATTGTACAGGGAAGCAGTATTATTACTTTATGTTAAGTACTACAAAACAAAGAATAAATCAAGAAAAACAAAGCTTTTCTGTGAGGGCTAGGCTGGGCAGCTGGTAAGGCACACTTTCTAGCTAATGGGCCTATTTTCTGCTTATGAGATCTGTAAAATTATACTTCTCTGCATATCTTCATTTTTTCCAGGTTATTTATGAATAGTCAAAAAACAAGATTGCTAAATCTACAAATGTCAAACCAACTGTTTCATGCAGCATATTATCTAGGAATTGAAAAAATTTTGTACAATTTTTACAGATGTTTCTCAAAATTATATTCATACATATACTGTCAATACTTTATTCATCTTAAGCTTTCCCCATGTGTTGCGACAGCTCATTTTAAAAATATTTATGCTGTGCTCGCTTCGGCAGCACATATACTAAAATTAAAATATTTATGTATTTATTTGAGAAGCAGAAAGAGGCAGACTCTGGTCTACTCCCCCAGATGCCAGCAAAGGCCAGGGCTTGGCTGAGCAGGAATGGAATCAGAAGCTGGAACTCAATCCAAGTCTTTCACGTGGGTGGTTTGGACCCAACTACTTAAGCCACCACTGGTGGCCTCCCAGGGTCTGGAGGTAGAAAGCAGGAATCAAGAGCTGAAGCCAGAATAAACAATCTAAATGAAAGATTCTGGTGAACAAGACCCCAGCAGAAGGAACAGGCCATCAAGGAGAGAGGCACCTTTCTCTGAAGGGAGGAAGGAACCTCCACTGTGATACGGCCTTGACTAAACAAGTTCAGAGTCGGTGAACTCAAGGGGCTTCCATAGCCTAGACAGCTCATAGCAAGAGTCTCGGGTGATTGCTGACATCATAAGCAAGAGTGCCAATTGTTAAATCAACAATGGAGTCACTGGGTACATGCTCCCCACGTAGGATCTCTGTCCTTAATGTGTTCTACTATGAAACTTAAAAACAACACTACTAGTCGAACAATACCCTATACCTTGTGCGGTTGTGTGGGTGCAGTCTGTTGAAATCCTTGCTTAGTATATACTAAGTTGATCTTCAGTATATGAAGGTAATTGAAAATGAAACTCGATGAAGGGCGGGATGGGAGAGGGAGTGGGAGAGGGGAGGGCCACGGGAGGGAGGGAGGTTGGGTGGGGGGAACCACAACAATACAAAAGTTGCACTTTGTAAATTCACATTTATTAAATTAAAAAAAACTATAACAAATGAAACAAAAAAAAAAAAAACAAAAAGAACTTAATACTTTACCCTTTTAGTATTTTTTATGTTCTACTTAAAACTATTGGTTGAACTCTGTAATTAATACACAATTACTCTTAGGTGTTTAATGCTATAACTAGTACTCAAATAGTATTTTACACTTTGTGTTTCTGTGTGGGTGCAAACTGTTGAAATCTTTACTTAATATATGCTAAATTGATCTTCTGTATATAAAGATAATCGAAAATTAATCTTGATGTGAATGGAAGGGGAGAGGGAAGCTATTGTAATCCATAAGCTGTACTTTGGAAATTTATGTTCATTAAATAAAAAAAAAAAGCTGAAGCCAGAATCCAACATGGGACAGAGGCAAACCAAACGCCTGCCCCATGCATCTCATTTTCAGTCTTAGAGGATTTGGGGACCAAGAGCTATGGCTGATCTCTTTTTATGTGTAAGTTCTTTTCTGCTTCAAGTATTCTTTCCACATTTATGTTGCAGTTTCATATATCTGTCTCTTTACATACATTGATCGTATCATTCACTCACTTGACATACACAAAAATTCAACTATGTGTGTTGAGTCAAGAGTTAAGAGACATTATTCTGCCAGTAATTGCTTTCAAGATTTCTCTTATTCGAAAGGCAGAGTTAAAGAGACAGATAGAGACAGGAGGGAGGGAGAGAGAGGTCTTCCACTGGCTGGTTCACTTCCCAAATGGCCACAACGGCCAGAGCTACGCCTATCTGAAGCCAGGAGCATTCTCCAGGTCTCCCTTGTGGGTGTAGGGCCCCAAGGCTTGCGCCATCCTCTGCTGGAATGCTGGTACCGCAGGCTGGGGCTTTAATCTGTTGTGCCACAGCACCAGCATGTTTTAGGACCTTCTTGATAAGTACATTCAAATACCTGGGTATTAACTAACATCTTGATATACCTACAGATCTGCCTATCCAGGTTGGGTGGTAGTCTGTGTCTGCTGGCATTCAGCCCACACTCAACCTTTGCTAAATGCTTTCCTAAATCACAACAGCTAGAGGCTGAAACTACATTTCCCACACTGAGTTCCTGCTAGGTTCTGCCAATGACAATACCACCAAATTAAAAAAAAAACTGGATGGTGCTGTGGCATAGCAGGCTTCCAGTGCCAGCATCCCATATGGGAGCTGGTTCAAGTCCCGGTTGCTCCAGCTCCCTGCTAATGTGCCTGAGAAAGCAGTGGAAGATGGCCCAAGTCCTTGGGCCCCTGCACCCACGTGGGAGACCCAGAAGTTCCAGGCTCCTGGCTTTAGTTCAGTCCAGTTCTGGCCTTTGCAGCCACTTGGGCAGTGAACCAGCAGATGGAATACCTCTCTCTAACTCTGCCTTTCTAAATAAATAAAGAAATAAATAAATCTTTAAAAACAAACCAAAAAAAGAACTGAGTAGAGACATTTGGCACAGTCATTATGACACTGTGCTAAGACCACATCCATATGGAGACTCATGAGCTCAAGTCCAGGCTCCACTTTCTATTCAGCTGCCTGTTAATGTGCTCCCTGGAAGGCAGTGGTGATGGCTCTAGTACGTGAGTTCTTCCCAGGATACCCAGATGGAGTCCCCAGCTCTGATTTCAGTTTTGCCCTGGGCATTGCAGCCATCTGGAGAATGAACCAGCAGATGGAAAAATCTATCTCTGTGTCTCTCAAATAACATTTTTAAAAAAACAAATGACAAGAAAGCATTGCCCATATCTGAAGAATCAAAGGCTTTCTACGATCATTCACCTCTGGAAACATCACCTTCTCCTCTCTTGTTCCTCTATCCTTCTAAGAATTTGTTACCTAATTTCCTAAATCACATTTCTTTCTGCTTGAAATGTACAAAATAGTTTCTGTTCCCATCTCCCAAAAGAACACGGAAAAACAAGTAAAATAAGCAATTTATCCATGTAGTCATGTATAAAAATGCAAAATAGGAACCAGAATTTGGTTTGATTCCTTGCTTCCGGACAAAGAAAGTCTTAAACATTTACTTCAGCTAGAATGAAAATAAATCAGGAAAAACGTTTCAGATACAGAAGGAAATAGTAAACAAAGAAACTGGTTTATGTGCATGTATTTATTTGAAAGGGAGACACACAGAGAGAGAAGGAGAAAGAGGTCTTCCATCCGTTGGTTCACTCCCCAAATGGCTGTAACAGCTGGAGCTGTGCTGATCTGAAGCCAGGAGCCTGGAGCTTCTCCTAGGTCTCCAACAAGCATGCAGGGGCCCAGGCATTTGCGCCACCTTCCACTGCTTTCCCAGGCGCATTAGCAGGGACTAGGACTCCAACTGGTGCTCACATGGGATACCTGCATCTTAGGTGGCAGCTTAACCTTCTGTGTCACAATGCCAGTTCCTATACTGCTTTCATGTCACTTAAATTTCCATTTTCAAAACAAACACTTTGTTTCTCTTGTGGGATGTTGTGTAGTGTGCTTTGCTCCCCTTTAGTGTTCTCAGTGTTTTCTCATTACACCTTGCTTTGTGCTTATTCGCCTGCAGAAATTTCATCTACACTGAATTCTTTCCTTGTTTCATTTTTAAAGATTTTATTTCATTTATTTGAAAGGCAAAGTTAGAGACAGATCTTCCATCCACTGGTTCACTCCCCAAGTGGCTACAGTACCGGCCCCTCATAGGCCAGTGTTGTGATACAGCAGGTAAAGCCACCACCTGTGACGCTGTCATCTCATATGGGTACCAGTTCGTGTCCTAGCTGCTCCACTTCTGTTCCAGGTCTCTGCTAATGGCCTGAGACAAGCAGCAGAAGATGGCCCAAAGTGCTTTGGCCCCTGCCACCCACGTGGGAGACACGGAGGAAGCTCCTATCTCCTGGCTTCAGCCTGGCCCAGAGCTGGCAGCTGCGACCATCTGGGGAGTGAACCAGTGGATCAAAGATCTCTCTCTACAACTCTTTCAAAATAAATAAACCTTATAAAAAATTTAAAAGTAAAAACCAAGAAACAAAAAACCCAAAAGAACAGTATTTTTAACAGTATTCTCTTAAGTGCATACAACCAAAAAGGTTCTTCTTTGTATTCTATTATCCAGCACATGGTTTAACACTGATCAGTGTTAAGCATGTGCATTTTTGTGAATTATACAAAGGGATTTTAAAGCTTTGTGGAAAAATTCAATTAACAGATTTTAAAAAATGAACTTCATTACCTTTCTGAAGCCCAGGTCTGCTGTAAATACACACATATTCAACTAATTAAGGATTATTCTGTAGTCCACTATAGATTGCTGTTATTTATATCTGAATGACAGATACCATTCTTCAGCCTCCAGCAAAAGTTATACAACATCAGCAATAAAAACCTAACCACTGTAAGCAAATTCTCCTCTCTGTTCAGCAGTATGTTCACTGATGAGTAAGTTGAAAGGATTAATGAAAGCCAACAAATCTTTTCGGGGGTATTGCCAGGAAGGTAACAATACTGTATTAACCTCTCTGGAAAATCACTGTTGTCTTAAGTCCTTGCTGCTTGCCCAGTACCTGGCAACTAATGAGTGTTCACTGAAAGTCCACTGGATAAATAAATACAATGTACTTCATTTATTTCCCTAAAGTTAAAAAAGTTTAGGGGCCGGTGCTGTGGCATAATGGGTAAAGCCACCACCTTCAGTGCCAGCATCCCACAGGGGCACCAGTTTGAGTCCTGGCTGTTCCACTTCCAATCCAGCTCTCTGCTATGGCCTGTGAAAGCACTGAAAGATGGCCCAAGTCCTTGGGCCTCTGTAACCACGTGGAAAACCCAGAAGAAGCGCTGGGCTCCTGGCTTCAGATTGGCACAGCTCTGGCCAGCCAATTGGGGAGTGAACCAGTGAATGGAAGACCCTCTCTCTCTCTTCAAATAAATAAATAAATCTTAAAAAAAAAAAAAAAAAAAAGCAAGCTTATACAACTGATAGGTCATCATCAGATCTTTGGGACATTTGATATTATAATACACAAAGGCTCAGGAATGCTTCTGTTGTACAACAAAATTCTAAGAGCCAACAAACATTTTAGAACTTCTCTGAGGTTTATTTCTAACTTGATTATTAAGAAGCAAAGGTTGTACCAGACCAAACTACATTTCCTGCTCACTCCAACCAGAAATAGAAAACACTGGGCAGGTGTTTGGCACAGCAGTTAAGACACCATTTAGTACACCCGTATCTCATATCGGAGTGCTTGGGTTGGAGTGCCAGCTTAGCTCTGAATTCCCAGCTTCCTGCTAATGCACACCCAGAGAGGCAACTTGGGTCCCTCCCTACCACCCAGACAGGAGACCTGGATTAAATTCCAAACTCCTGGAATCAGCCTAGCCCAGCTCCAACATCAGACACTTGGGGACTAAACCAGCAGATGGCATTATGCCTGTCTGTCCATTCCTCTGTCTTCCAAAATAAGTATTTTTCAAACCTTGACATTAAAAATATTAAGAGAAAACACTGAGTCTTTTAGCAAACAAAGGTAGTTTCAAAACAGTCCCAGAAAAAAAAAATCAACAGTAATCACAATTTTTAATATATTGGATACATAGGGAAACAACTTATAGCTATACTGATGATATGTGGAAGGATAGTTATGTATTGCTTAATGATGGGATACATCATTAAGTCTGAGAAATGGACTTTTAGGTGATTTTTTTCATCGTATTAATATCCCAAGTGTTCTGACACAATCTAAGATGGTGAGGATGTCACTAGAAGATAAAATCATATATGCAGCCAGTCATTAACCAAAGCATCTTTATACAGTGCATGCCTGTAAAATATTTTTTGAAAAGCAGAGAAACAGAGGCAAAGACAGATGAAGATTTTTCATTTGTTTCATTCCCCAAATGCTCACAAACAGCTAAGGTTGGGCCAAAGCAAAGCCAGGAATCCATCACTAAATCCAGGTCTGCCAAGTTTTGGTCTATCACCTGCTGCCCCTCAGGGTATGTACCAGCAGGAAGCTGGAACCAGAAGCAGAGCTGAAATCCAAACTGAGACACTCTGATATGAGATGTAGGTACTCCAAATGGCAATTCAACCACTGTACCAAATGCCTGCTCTGTAACTTAACAGTTCTGAGGTAGACATTTGACCTAGCAGTTAAGATGCCTGCATCCAACTTTGCAGTACCTGGGTTCAATCCCCACCTCTATCTCCTGACTCCATCTTCCTTGCATGCATTCCCCAGGAGGCAGCAGTAGTGGCTCAAGTGATTCCTGACACTGACATGGGGCATCTGGATTGCTTTGACAGCTCTCAGCTTCAGACCTGGTCCAGACAAGACTGCTACAGACATCTGGGACGTGAACAATCACTGGGAGCATGCACACATGCTCTTTCTCTCTCTCTCTCTGCTTCTAAAAATTAAAAGAGACTAAGATTTAAATAAAAGTTCTATTCTTCTTCTACCACTCACAAAGTCACCAAGTGTATGTTTTAACAGAAATATCTATTCTACCCTTTCCAAAATATCTTAGCTTGATTAACCTTATAACCTCTATAAAATCTGCTACTGAGATCTTTAAAAAAATAAAGTCGGGGCCGGTGCTGTGGCTCACTTGGTTAATCCTCTGCCTGCGGCGCCAGCATCCCATATGGGCGCCGGGTTCTACTCCTGGTTGCTCCTCTTCCAGTCCAGCTCTCTGCTGTGGCCTGTGAGTGCAGTGGAGGATGGCCCAAGTGCTTGGGCCCTGCATCCGCATGGGAGACCAGGAAGAAGCTCCTGGCTCCTGGCTTCGGATCAGCGTACTCTGGCCATAGTGGCCATTTAGAGGGTGAACCAACGGAAGGACGACCTTTCTAACTGTGAAATTAAAAAAAAAAAATAAAGTCACAACAGACATGATTATAGACACAACTCCTCCACTTTTGTTAAGTCTTGATTGGGTTTAAGTTAAGGTTTTGATACTGTATTTCCACTGTCTAATCCTCCTTAATTACCAACATTGCCACTTACACTGGAGTATTTCTTTGACAATGGTTTCAGTGGAAAAGTTCTGAGGAAAATGAATTCAACAATTTATGAACAATGTCAAGCACTGTACCAGGTGTAGGGGGAAAAAAGATACACATAACTCAGGGGCCATGGGCTCAAACTGCCAGGAATGAAATTAGAATGATCTTTTTAAGTTCCCATGTGCTTCTTCTCACCCACAGCAGAGTGCATACGCCTCTCTTTGCTAGTGTTATTAAAAATGGGGGTGGGGTGGGGTGTGGCCAGCTGCATTGTGGCATAGCAGGTATGGCATCCTATATGGGTGCCGGTTCGTATCCCAGCTGCTCCACTTCCAATCCAGTTCTCCGCTAATGGCCTGGGAAAGCAGTAGAGGATGGCCCAAATGCTTGGGCCCCTGCACCCATGTAGGAGACCGAATGAAGCTCCTGACTTCGGCCTGACTCAGCCCTGATCCCTGAGGCCATCTACTGAATGAACCAGTGAATGGAAGATCAATCTTTTTGTCTCTCCCTCTTCTTCTGTAACTCTTTCAAATAAATTCTTAAAAAAAATTTTGTAAAAAAAGAAATGAAGGGCATTAATTTACCATACTCAAAAAGCCCCTGCAGCTTAACAATTGCTACAACATATTTTGGAAATCTGGTTTCAGCAAAATACATTGCACTAAAAATTTAAACTGGCTTTGTATTTATTATTAGTTTTAGCAGAATTTAAATGTCAAGATAGTTTATACTTGTATTTTTGTTTGTATATCTAACTAATATCCCAATAAAAGTAGTATTCATATCTTTTAACATAGGTGCATACAATGCACAAGACAGAAATGTCTTGGTTGTTACTCCATGCAGAGCCCAGTTATTTACCTTAATATTTCAGAGGCAGTAAGTGAAACCTACCATAAAACTATACAAGTATTTTTAGTTCAATTTTCTGGCTTTAATTGAAAGGTCAATTGGGTGAAGAGACAATAACCCAATTTTTTTAGGTCATCTAAACTGTTCTTCCAAACAGAAGAAACAGGTGATTTGGCTCATAGGGAGAGAGGAGTGACTCTGCACATTTTCCTCACGTTTAGGAACAGTATCCATGCTACAGGCACTTAACATCTCCAGCCAATCCTGAATTTAAGAAGGGACATTATATTCCTAACACATTTTGGTTAGGTATTAACGACAGCAGCTGAAGCCAGAAGATCTGAAATAAATGTTTAATACAGACACTCATTAAAAGGAAATCACTCAGGATATCCTCAATTAGGCTGTTCTAGTAAAAGCATTTACACTCTAGAAATCAACACTTCACATTTTGGCAACATACTAACAAATCTTACAAAGATTATAAAGCATGCTACTGTGCACCAGGTGTCCACACTGAGTGTGATTCCAATTTGTAAGACACCACAGTCAAGGCTTTCATTATTTCATTAATAAGGAACACTAAAACAAGCATTTTACAATAAAATGAGATGTAATATTAGTTAAGATTGTTACCTTAGACTAACTTTTTTTGTGTGTAAAATGAGAAAAGCATTCAATAATCTTCCCTGTAAAATCCCCCAACTAACGTAGTTCTTGGTCTACTATTTATATTACTGTTTCCTTTTCTTCAGTTTTACACCATCCGACTTGGGCAAAGTTAGTATGGTTAATACCATATGGATTGGAACAGACACCTACCCAATTTCCAATCTGACTGGGAACGTGGTTGCAACATTGGGCAGAAACCTTTTCAAATCCGCTTTATGGTAAGGCGGGGCCATTTTTAAGAAAAACTGTTGCTAACTCCCCAGAAACAATTAAGGGAAGAAAATCAGGGACCTCCCTCGTTTCCCAACCAGCCGTAAGTCCAGGACAGCAGCAAAAATAATCATGGTGCAAGGGGCAAGCACGAGCCTCCATAAACACAAGGGAGTTGTGTTCGTAATTTGAACCATATTGATCTTTTCTGGCATACACCCCACCCCTACATCAGAAATTGAGTTTACAAAACACTCCTAACGTTTCCGAAAAAAGTCTGAGCCACGAAGGCAGCCCCACTTTTGAAGATTCCTACTTCTCGATTTTTCGTCGTCCATCAACCCTGCGAATCCCGCCGCTCACATTCTTGAGCACTCCCTCGGCCCGGGTAGGCCTCACAACCAGGGTAGGAAGTACGTACGGCTACTCTGGAAGCAATTGCAATCCAGGTCTCCGCCACGGCCCCCCACGCGGGACAGCCTTTAGGGTTAAGCGCACGCTTCACCAGAAGCTGGGAGCGATCGGGGCGGGGCGGATAAAACTTGCCAGGGCAAGTGAAGCCCGCAGAACTTGGGCTCCGGGGCACACGCGACGCACCCAGACCTTCGGGGAGAGGGGCAGCGCGTGTGAAGCGAGCACGCTCCGGCGCATTACCGGGGACTGCGGAAGGCCGACTCCGGGGTGCCCCGCCTTCCGGCCGAGGCTCCCGGCTCCCGGCGCCGCGGGACCGCACGCCGCCAGAGCAGGCCGCCCGCCAGGCCGGGCCCGCTCCCCGCGCGCACTCACCTTCTGCTCCTCCGCGGAGGCTGTCTCGGGGACTTCCGCGGACATGCTGCTCTCTCTGCAGACGAGACGCCGGGAAAAGACGCGATTACCGGGTGGCCGAGGCCGCCCGGCCGCCGCCTTAGGCCCGCCCGACGCCCGCCCCCGCTCTCCCGGCGCCCGCCGGGGGCCGCCTCCGCCCGCGAAAATGGCCGCCGCCTTATGACGACACCGAGCCTCAAGGCGCCCGGCCGGCGGCGGCTGCGGCCCACCGATGCCCGCCCGTCGCTCGCGCGCCGCGCCCCTACCTGCCTAACCCCGCTCGTCCGGCTTTCAGACGCCTAAGCACTTCCTTTTTCCCTTCAAAGGTCGCGGCTCGCGCCTTACCTCACTTCCGTCCCGTGGTGCCGAGTGCTCCCTGGGAATGGTAGTTCCAAGTGGAGCCGCCTCTCCCCGCCCTTGCGTGCCGCTTCTCCCCGCGCTCTTCCGGGACCTTACCTATTTCCACTTCCTCAGGCTCGCGTAGTCCTCTTACCCTACTCGCCCCGTGCCGGGCAGCCACGCAAGGTTCTCGGGCTGCCTCCCTCCACAAATCTCGCCCAGTTCTCCTTTGCGTAATTAACTTCGTGCATCCTGCACACGCCCAACTCTAGGACACTGTCTCCGGACAAACTGCTTTCCAAGCCTCTGCGCTGGGTCAGCTCTTGAAGGCTGTTGTATCTCGGGTTCTTCCACAACGTGACAATAACTGTGACTACGTTAAATGTCACCATTCCAGCTCAGATAAACCCTACCCAGGCAGGGAGCTCCTCTGTGCTTACTTAAATTACACTGTGAGGCCTCGGCATTTCCTATTTATTCAATAAATACCTCACAAAGGAATTCAACTTTCATTCTTTTGTCTACCCCTCCCATAACTTTTTTTTTTTTTTTTTTTTTGACAAATAGAGCGAAAGGTCTTCCTTCCGTTGGTTCACCCCCCCAAATGGCCACCACGGTAGGAGCTATGCCGACCCGAAGTCAGGAGCCAGGTGCTTCTCCTGGTCCCCCATGCGGGTGCAGGGCCCAAACACTTTGGCCATCCTCCACTGCACTCCCGGGCCACAGCAGAGAGCTGGACTGGAAGAGGAGCAGCCGGGACTAGAACCCAGCGTCCATATGGGATGCCAGCTCTGCCCCTCCCATAACTTTACCGAAACTGCTAGCATCCAGCTCCTCCAATGATTTTAAATTGCCAAATCCTATGACTTTTGTTTTAAAAAATTTTTATTTAAGGTGAACAAATTTCATGTATATCACACATACAGATTTAAAAGGATAATATGCGGCTCACTAAGCTAATCCTCCACATGCGGCGCTGGGTTCTAGACCCAGTTAGGGCGCCAGATTCTGTCCCCGGAATCTCTCTTTTTCAAGTCCAGCCTTCTGCTGGGGCCAAGGAAGGCAAATGGAGGGTTGGCCCCAGTGTTTTGGGCCCTGCACCCGCATGGGAGGCCAGGAGGGGCCATTTGGGGGGATGAACCAAAAGGAAGGAAGCCTTTTCTCTCTGTTTTCTCTTTCTTTCCCCTAAACTCCGCCTTGTCAAAAAAAAAAAAAAAAAAAAAAAAAAAAAAAGGATAATACTGGGGCCGGTGTGGCATAGTAGTCTAAGCCTACATCTGTGGTGCTGGTTCCTGTCCCAGCTGCTCTTCTTCTGCTCCTCTCTGATCCAGCTTTCTGCTTATGGCCTGGGAAAACAGTGGAAGATGGCCCAAGTGCTTGGACCCAAGTGGGAGACCTGAAAGAAGCTCCTGGCCCTGGCTTGGGATAGGCCCAACTCGGGTAGCTGCAGCCATTTGAGGAGCAAACCAGCAGATCGAAAACCTTTCTCTCTCTCTCTCTCTCTCTCTAGCCCTTCCCACCTTATCCTCCCTCCTGCCCACACTCCCACCCACCCACCCCTTCTTTTCTTTTCTCACAATTTTTACAATGGCATACTTTCAGTTTACTTTATAATCGCAAGTTTAACTTTCCACTTAAAGAATTCAACAAGTAGAAAGTAGGAAAACCTCAAGAATATAGAAAAGGGCTGTAAACAGTAATCAAATCTCACATACATTGTTGTACTCTGTATATTAATTACCAAAAAAATCAGGGAAAATATGTATTTCTCTTTTTTGGGACTAGCTTATTTCACTAAGCATAATGGTTTCCAGTTGCATCCATTTTGTTGCAAAAGATAGGATTTCATTCTTTTTATGGCTGAGTATTATTCCATAGTGGATATATATCTCATTTTCTTAATCCAGTCATCAGTTGATGGACATCTAGGTTGATTCCATAGCTTAGCTATTGTAAATTGAGCTGCAATAAACATGGGAGTATAGATGACTCTTTCATATGCTTGTTTCATTTTGTTTGGGTAAATTCCCAGGAGTGGGATGGCTGGGTGATATGGTAGATCTATTTTCAGATTTCGGAGGAATCTCCGTACTTTATTCCATACTGATTTTACTAGTTTACATTCCCACCAACCGTGTATTATGGTACCTTTTTCCCCACATCCTTGCCAGCACTTATTGGTTATTCGTTTTTGCATGACAGCTGTTCTGATAGGTGAGATAAAACCTTGGTGAGGTTTTCATTTGCATTTCCTCAATGGCTAGTGATCCTGAGCATTTTCTCATGTGTGTTTTGGCCATTTGAATTGCAAGCTTTGAAAAATTTCCTGTTCAGATTCTTGGCCCATTTCTTGGCTGGATTGTTGTTGCTGAGTTTCTTTACATTTAATACTTTCTACTTGACATCTGAGTAACTACCAGCAATACGTGGTGGTTTCAATGAAGTGTCCCTCAGAAACTTGGAAATAAGATCGCCCTCTAATAATTAAATTGGTAAAAAAAAAATCACAGATAATGAATGAAATTCTGGAGAGTAGGGAAGCAATCAAAAGAGCACAAATGTCTGGATAACGAATTTTGGAAACCAACAACCAACACAACTCAACCAGGGTGTAAAATCTCAGGAAGAATTGTACTGAGATTGCAACTTGAAAAGTAAGAGTTATATTGAACTCTTTTTGGAGAAAGGGAGGAAGGAGTCTGTTAGCCAAGGACATATTTAAAATAAGAGGGATCAAGAGGTTACCTCTTTGACAAAAATCTTCCATGAAGGATGTCTCAAACTGGACTAGCTGAGAGACTTCATAAAGGCAATACATACTTGAAAAAGTTTGTGAAAAAGTAGAATGGAAAGTATACATTTCTTTTGGTATTTTTTCATAATACACAGAAAATGCATGCTATTAAAAAACCATGGGGGCCAGCACTGTGACATAGCAGGTAAAGCCACACCGGCGGTGCTGACATCCCATATGGGCGCAGGTTGGAGTCCCAGCTGTTCCACTTCCAATCCAGCTCTCTGCTATGGTCTGGGAAAGCAGTAGAAGATGGCTCAAGTTCTTGGGCCCCTGCACTCACGTGGGAGACCCGGAAGAAACTCCTGGCTTCAGATCAGTGCAGCTCCAGCCATTGCGGCCAATTGGGGAGTGAACCATCGGATGAAAGACCTCTCTCTCTCTCTCTCTCTCTCCATCCCTCTCTGTGTAACTCTTTCAAATAAATAAATAAATCTTTAAAAGAAAAAAAAATGGGTGGTGGTTGGCGCTGTGGCATAGCGGGTGAAGTCCTGGCCCTCAGAGCCAGCATCCCATACAGGTTATGGCTTCAAATTCTGGCTGCTCCACTTCCAATCCAGCTCCCTACTAGTGTGCCTGAGAAAGCAGCAGAGGATAGCCCAAGTGCGGGAGACCCAGAGGAAGCTCCTGGCTCCTGGCTTTAGATTGGCTCAGCTCCGGCAGCTGCGGCCATTTGGGGAGTGAACCAGCAGATGGAAGGCCTCTGTCTCTCTCTCTACCTCTCTCTGTAACTCAGTCTTTCAAATAAAATCAGTCTTAAAATTATCTGCACCAAAATAAACTTAAACCTTTAAACCCATTTTCCATGACCTTTTTATAGTATTGTCATTGCATACTCACAAAGTAACCTTCAGAAAATTTGCTGCTTCTTTATGTAGAACTAGAGAGAGGAGAGAGAGGAACTAAGCTAATTGTAGCATCTGACAATTATGTTTTTATTAATAAATTGGCATTCAGGTGCATAAACTATATTTGTGAACTTGGATAAAGAAAAATTTGCTCCTGCTGGTGTTGTGTCATAATGGGTTAAGCTACGCTTGCTGTTGGCATCTCAGAGTGGTGGTTTAAGTCCTGGCTTCCAAAACAGCTTCCTGCTAGTGCATCTGAGAAGATGGATGGCCCAAGTACTTGAGCCCTTGCCACCCATATGGGAGTCCTGGCTTCTGGCTTCAGCCTGGCCCAGCCCTGGCTGTTGCTGCCATTTGGGAAGATCTCTTTCTCTTTCTCTCTTCTCTGTGTATCTGTCTCTGTGCCTTTCAAATACATAAAAATCAATTTAAGGAAAAAAGGAAAAACTTGCTTCTGAAAAAGTGACATTCACATGAGGGCAAGTTTGAATTTCTGGGAGGCAGAGTTTGGTCAAATAGAGAATTTACCCATGGCAATGCCCCATTATGGAGACCTGTCTAGGAAGCCATCCCCCTTTAGCAATACCATCTGCATCATCATAAACCATGCACCTTAATGGTTTTTTTTTTTTAAAGATTTACTTATTTGAAAATCAGAGTTACCCAGAGAGAGAGAGAAAGAGGCAAAGAGGCAGAGAGGCAGAGAGAGAGAGAGAAAGAGTCTTCCATCCACTGGTTCACTCCTCAGTTGGCTGCAATGGCCAGAGATGCACTGATCTGAAGCCAGGAGCCAGGAGCTTCTTCTGGGTCTCCCACATGGGTGCAGGGGTCCAAGAACTTGGGCCATCTTCTACTGCTTTCCCAGACCATAGCAGAGAGCTGGATCGGAAGTGGAGCAGCCTTTACTTGAACTTCCTCTATGGGAAGTCAGCATTGCAGGTGGCAACTTTACCCGCTATGTGACAGCACCAGTCCCAGCATTCCTCTTGACAGTATACTAACTTGAATAGCCTCTGAGTTTTAGGACAGGGATGGAGAATTTTTTTCTGCCAAAGGCCATTTGGATACTTATAATATCATTTGTGGGCCATTCAAAATTATCGACTTCATTTTATTTCAGGTGCTGCCTGCGGGACCATGGTCAGACCAAATGATTTCCTGGGTCTCATATTGGCCACAGGCCTGATGTTCCCCACCCCTCATTTAGGACATTCCTTTCCAAAGTTTGTTTCATTTCTTTCTGAAATTCTAA